AACATATATAAGAAGCAGTTTCTTTCTTTCTTTTTATCTATCTATCTATCTATCTATCTATCTATCTATCTATCTATCTATCTATCTATCTATCTATCTATCCAAGTCTACTTATCTAAGTCTACTTATCTATCTATCTATCTATCTATCTATCTATCTATCTGTCGCTGTCTACTCGCATCTATCTATCAGTTACGATGGCAATCAGGAACAAATATCCAGGAAAACTGAAGAAAGTGGCCATTTCATCAGAACAATGCTCCAGCACATAAGTCCTTGCTTTCAATGATTTCTGTGCGTGACTGTCGCTTTGAACTGGTTTCCCACCCTCCCTATTCTTCTGATTTGGTTCCGACTACCATCCATTCCCCAATATGAACAAAAACTTGGCTGGGAACCAGTATAGCAGTGAGGGTGACGTCAAATTATAACTCCCTCACTTCACGTACACTTCTCCTAGGTCCCGTTGGCCTTCTGTCGACGTGTAGCCGCTCAGCCCGGAAACAAATTCTTCCGATATCTCAATCTTCGCACGGCTATTAGATAAGGAGAGTTATACAGCTTCCCAACTGGTTTAGGGATTGGTGCCAGTATAAGTCGTCCATTGTCCCGTCTTGGTCCTTCAAGTGTTGCGATTCTTGCATATGAAGAAAGTTGTCTTCTTTTAATCAATCATCCGTGGTAAACTTCTTGTTGACGACTAGGCTGACTAGAAATAAAGTAAAGCTCTCACCAAAGAAATAAGAATGCCAATTTTGGTTAAATACAGACGATTTAATGAAGATGAATAAAATAATATACAAGCGAATATATTTGGCATCTATTAACGCAAAAAAGATTAGAAGGCAGCGACTTGGAATCTCGATCTATGTGTTCAGCAAGGATCAGTTAGAAAGTCAAGTGAATATTGGGTCCTTTCCTCATGCGTGTGTGCGACTGCGTGTGTGTCTGACGACCCGTCTGTCTCTGGCATCCCAGCCCGTCTTTGCTATAGCCTCAAAATCGAGCTGATTTTATACATAATTCTCCGCCCACATATCAACTGTTAACATACCCCATTTCATTCAGAGCTATTGCCCTCAAAACGCAAAACATATTCGGCTGACATATCCATCAGAAACGAAATCAAAAACATATACTCTGACCTGGCCTCTCGATAAATATTCCTTAAATTAATAAGGACTAGAATAATATACACCAATTCATTCCAAATTGTTGCCTTGAAATTTAAAAACTACAATATTTGCTAATAACAAACATGTTATAATATCTGCTGTTGATGACTATTTTTACCATTACAATGAAAGTTTCTTAACCAGAGATACTGCAACACCGATGGAAGAAGTGTGTGAACCCCAAGGGGGACTATGTTGAAAAATAAACTAAGTGTTGTCACATTTAGTGAGAATATGTTGGTAAGCCTATGAAAATTTCAACCTCGTAAGAATGGATAAGAAAAAGCCCTTGAGGTTTTCGTCCGACCACAAAACCTTCTATATTCGTTTCGGCAATATTTGCCTCTGCCTCCTGACTCTCACTCGTCAAAGATAGGACTGCAACAGACCTGGAAATATCCCCTAAATCTTTTTACACGGTGATAAGCGGTGATTTGTTACACCTTTTCACCCCAAGCAAGGCGATAAAGCCATTGAGACGAAAGAAGTTACTGAGAGTGAAAGAAACTGAGAAAAAAAAAAAAACCTTGAGAAGAGGAGACAACAAAAGAATAAGATTCACAAAGACGGAAGATGATTTGACTTAATAATTAATCAATAAGCGTAGCTTGGATGTGGCACAATGCCGAACGTAGGGGGCACCGAGTGAGGATCGAACTCACTCCTCAAACGTAATTGTTCTAGCAAGACAAGCTTGCTAACAATTACACCATCTCAAGGTGCCCAATGATTTTCTAAGCATTGCTTAGATGTGGCACAAGGCCGAAAGTATAGGACACCCAGTGAGGATCGAACTCACTTTTCAGTAATAACTGATCTAGCAAGTGAAGCTTGATAACCATTACACCACCCCGAGGTATCCAAATTCTCATATGAATATGGTGAACTAATCCATTTATGAATGCACAGACTAATTCAATTAAAAACAATCTTCAAAATTACTAATATATAAAGATTTATATGATTATCCTCACTACTCAAGAAAAAAAATACGAAAAAGGATTGTATAATATGTTTTTACAAAAGTTCAGAGAGAAATATTAATTTGTTTTGTTTTTTAACTGCCCCCCCCCAGCAAGGCAGTAAAGCCACTAAGACACAATGGTGTGTGTGGAAATATTAGAAAACAGAAGCATTATTGATGAGCGAGAACAACAGAAGAGTAATCAGGTAAACAGTAGGTAACGATTAACATTGCATTTAAATTTTCGAAGATCAAACTTGATTGGAAAGCAAGAAGCCAGAAGAAAGTTCCTCAAGCGAGAATTGCGAAAGAAGGAACTGTTAGCATAGAACTTGCGATTACATCTCACCAATTCAACTGTAAATTGGTGAGACCTTGTTGCTAATCTAGCACTGTGCTTGTCGAGGTACAATAACAAAGAGATCATCCGAACAATTATCATAAAAATATTTATAGAAAAGGCACAGGGAAGCAACTTTACGGCGGTGGTAAAGTGACTGAAGCCGAGATGCCAGGTCAGCACCAATAGTATTGCTGACTGGTCTTTGCATTTTATCAAGAAATAAATGTATAGCAAAAATAGCAGGCTATATATAGCAGCAATATTTGAGGCATGGACGAATGGTAGACTTACATATATATAAAACAGGAGTGAAAAATTATCTAGGACGACAGAGTGAACAATCATTCTTTTGAAAAACATCTATTTATGTGTTTATGGTATAATTGCACGGGTGCAAAGTCTAATAAAATAATCAAAAATACCTAAAATAATTATTTGAGTCGAGAATCCAGACTATATCATTCAGGCTATGTATAAAACAGCTTTCAAATATACTTGAAAAATCTATTTTACAAAATGATTTGACTTTCAAATTATTTTAATAAAATGTTTCCGTACTCAAGAAAGTACCTTTTTTTTTTCAAAGATAAACATAACGCCAACAGTGTAAAAGTTTGAAATAGAAAAGAAACTGTTTAAATGTTTTGTCAAGTAAAAGCTTAAAATAAATGCCTAATAAAGATATCTGCATTAAACTAAGTGAATTAATCTATGAAAATATGGAACAGCCGCAAAATTGCCAAGGATTACCATATGTAAATGAGGAACTAATCCATTTATAAATACACGGGCTAATTGAAAATTAATAATTAAAAATTAAAAATACAAGAATTTATTTGGGATGGTTAGATTTTTGAAAAAAATCTGTAAAATTATTAAAAGTTTCAGATTCAAGGTTTCGCTATTTGACTAACATCAAAAGACACTATTTTCAAAAAAGAAACAAAATACCAACAATGTAAAACAAATCTGTTTGTAGGTCTTGAAGATTGAGAACTGCTGTTTTTAGAGCTCTCATTAAATAAAAATTATTACCTATGGGATTTTAAGTGTTGATATTCTTTAATTAATAATAATAATAATAATAATAATAATATATATATATATATATATATATATATATATATATTGGCATTTATGTTGACTAACTTATATGAGATTGTCATTTATTCGTAGATAGTATAATACGAGAAATCTCTGTGGTTAGTATTTGTAATATTATAGAATTTAAATGTTTCGGGTTGGGTGTATTTTAAATCGGTGTGTGACCGTATTTAAACAATGAAATATGAAGTATACAAAAACTTGACGTTTCTGCCACGAACAGATTATTCACCCTTTAACATGAACTGAAGTGAAACAAAGTTCGTCATGTCTCTTGGGTAATTCCGTTTACTTTTTGGTCCAGAAGTTAGGGTAATTAAGTATAAACATCGTATTAATGACAGCCTTGCGCAGAGTTGGAGCAACCAAAGAAAAGATTGTTTTTACTTTATCGTTGGAAGGTTTTAACATGGTTATTATATGTCCGAGTTTTTCTTGATTTTGGGTAAGTAAGGATAAGCATCGTAGGTCGTGCTCAAATCAGCCTTACGCTGATTTGGAACGACCAAAGAAATATTTGACTTACTCCATTGGTGGAGATTTTGGAAGCGAACGCCATTCGTTGGAAAGTGAAAGGAGTGGTCACTAGTCAATAGACCGGGTAAACTAACGTGCTCCAGAGGGAACATAATTACCACCTTGTTTTACATCTTGAACCAAGGGGGGAGAAAGAGAGTTAGTGAAGAAATGTTTGCCTTTTTTTATAGACTACAACAGCGCCACATAACGACGTTTGACGAACCCTAGTGGGGTAAACATATTTGCATTTTCTTTACTCTTATCATCATAGGAAAATGAATTTCTTTTTCTTTTTTATTATTCATTATTATTATTTTATTTATCGATTTTATTTCATTTTCCCCAGAAGTTTTAAAAAAGGAAGGCCCTAAAATGTTCCTAAGTTATTTTAAATATCCTACAACTCTGGTGCAAAGTCATATTGGGCCTCAGAAAACAAGGACAATTTCAGGCCAGAACTTTCTCACCGTACCGCTGGTCGCCCGATTTATGCCCCCACCCAGATCTCCAGACTTCAATACTCTCCACTATTTTGTGTGTGGCGTCTTGGAGAGGGAGGCGAACCGCAGGCCCTACAACACCAAGCATGTTGTCAAAACAGGGACTCAATGGCCAACATCTTCCGGTTCCGCCTGGAGAAAATGGTGGTCTCCGACGGTGGCCCCATGTACCTTATATATGCGTCTAACTGTATATAAAGTTTCATTGAAATATATTAGTTCGTTATATAAGAAACGCTGTTTTTATTATCCATTAATTTTCCTATGTTCCTAAGTTACTTTCATTGTTACCGTTCGAGAAAGCAGAACATATTTTTTTTAAAGTAACAATATTAATATCTATCTATCTATCTATCTATCTATCTATCTATCTATCTATCTATCTATCTAAGTCT